TAGGGATCTATGTCTTTCGTTAAGTCTGATAGTGTTTGCTTTGTATGTCTGGTGCTTCAATGTTGGGTGCATAAATATTTATGATTGCTGTGTCTTCTTGCTGGATAGATACCTTTATCATTATATAGTGGCCTGTATGTCTCTTTTAATGGTTTTTGGTTTAAAGTCTATTTTATCCAACATAAGAATAGCTACTCCTGCTCATTTTTGATTTGTACGGTATATCTTTTTCCATCTTTTCATTCTTAGTCTGTGTGTGTCTTTATAGGTGAGTTGAGTCTCTTGAAGCAAGCATATGGTTGTGTCTAATCCAATCAGCCAGTCTGTGTCTTTTGAATGGGGAAGTTAATCCTTACAATTATAGTTGTTACTGGAAGGTATTGTCTTACTTCTGGCTTTTTATTGATTTTCATTTAGTTGTTTTAAATATCGTTTGTCCTTCCCCCCCGTCCTTCTAACATTTGTGTTCAGTTTGTTGAGTTTTTGGGGGTAGTAAAATACAGTTTCTTCTGTGGATTGAATGTCCCCTCTCCAAACTTACTGAATCTTAAATTGTGTTCCCCAGAGTTCCAGATATTGGAAACTTGGCCCCCACTATAACAGCTGAGTGTGGGAAATTCTATTATGTAACTGAAACCTGGAGCCTTGAAGAGGTATTTAGATTGTAGGATCTTGCTGTAAGTGTATGGATTTATAATGGTGGTCAGTGGCATGGTTCTGAGGGCTTAAACAGGAGAGCACATGAGAGTCAGTCTCTTTCTCTGCTCTGCCATTTTCTGCCATGTGAGTTCCCTGTATTGCTGTAAAGCCAGCACCAAAGAAGACCCTCATCAGATGTTTACTGGACTTTGGACTTCTCAGCTTCCAAAACTGTAAGCAATACATTTTGTTTTCTTACATATCACTCAGCTTCAAGTATTTGTGTTATAAGCAATAGAAACAGATCGATAAAGTTTCTTTCTCTTTCTTGTTTGCATTTTTGTTCTATCAGTGTGTTTTCTTCTTTCTTGTTATTTGTGGTAAAGATTATCATTTTTGGATTGCAGATATAGGATTCCATTGAGGATTTGCTGTAGGGATGGTCATGAGGTTGTGAACTCCCATAGTGTTTGTTTGTCTGGGAAATACACAATTTCTCCTTCATTTCTGAAGGATAGTCTTGCTGGGTATAGTATTCTTGGTCGGCAGTTTTTTTTCTTTTAGTATTTTGAGTACATCATCCCATTCTCTTCTGGGATATAGAGTTCCTGTTAAGAAGTCTGCTGTTAGTCTGATGGGGACTATCTTATAGGTAATTTGGTGCTTTTTCTTGCTGTTTTTAGGATTCTTTTTTTGTCTTTGAGTTTTGTCAGTTTGACTATAATGTGTCTTGGAAAGGACCTTTTTTGATTGACTCTCTTTAGGGACCTTTGAGCTTTCTGTGTCTGAATGTCCATGCCTCTCCCTATATCTGGGAAGTTTTCTGCTATTATTTTGTTGTATATGTTCTCATTGCCTTTTTCTTTCTCCTCCTCTTCAAGGCTACCCATGATTTGGCTGTTTGTGTGCTTCTGGTTGTCTGCTATTTCTCTTAGATTTTCTTTATTTTTAAAAATTCTTCTTTCTTTTTCTCTTTTTTTTGTCTGCCTGAGTTATTTTTAAGAGACTGTCTTCCAAATTGGAAACTCTTTCTTCTGTTTGCTCTAACCTACTGCATACCCTCTCAGTTGTGTTTTTTATTTTATTTAATGCCTCCTTCAGTTCCATGAGCTCTGCTGCATTCTTTTTTAAAGTATTAATCTCTTTATAAATTTCCTCCTTTATATCCTGGATTGTTTTGCTCATTTCATTGTGTTGTCTAACTGTGTTTTCTTGTATCTCATTGAGTTTCCTTAAAATTTTTACTTAGAATTCCTTTTCAGTCATTTCAAGGGTTTCCTGCTCTGTGGGATCTGGTATTGAGATTTATTTTATCCCTTTGGTAGACTCATATTTTCTTGGCTTTTTTTTTTTTTTTTCATATTTCTAGTATGTCTATGTTGGTATCTGGTCATCTGGTAGAGCAGTTGCTTATTCTATTATTCTCCTTTCCTGACTCCACTGGTGACCTTCCTTGTGTCAATGCAATTGAGTCATCAGTGGTCTGCCTGCACAGTGGCTGCTGCAGCTGGTGGTGTAGTAGCAGGCCAGCCTTGTGGCTGTGGCGGCTGTGGCAGTGTTTTTCGTGGGCTACCTGTGTGGCAGCGGTGCATTTACAGGTGGTGGGCTGTTTACATAACAGTGGTGGCTGCTTGGCGGCACAAGTGTTGGTGGTGACTGTAGCACTGGTGGTTGTAGCAGCCATCTGCTTGGCTGTGGTGTGCACAGCAGTGGTCCACACAGCTATGGTGTCTGCAGCGGTAGTGGGGTTACCTCATGGGCGTGGCAGCTGTTCTTATGGCTGTAGTTGCCTCCCTGGTATCTGTTGTGTCTGCAGATACAGTGGGGTTACTTTGGGGTTACCAGTGCTTGCAACTGCCTCCTCATCTGTGGTGTCTGCAGCAGCAGCTGGGTTATCTTTTGGGGACAGCAGTGGAGTTGGTGTCTGCAAGTACCTCCCTCACATGTGGGTGTCCTTGGTGGCAATGGGGTTACTTTGTAGTGTCAGCAGTGGCGCAGGTACCTGTAGTACTACAGGCAGCTGCAGCTGTCTCCCTTACATATGCGGTGTTCTTGGTGGGATCAGGGTCAACTTATGTTGGCAGCAATGATGGTGGTGGTTGTAACCAGCTCTCTTGTGTCTGTGGAGTCTGTGGCTGTAGTGATGGGTTACCTACAGGACTGCTGCTCTGTGGGGAGTGGCTCTCTGAGGGACAATGGTTCTGGGACCAGACAATGGCTCCGGTGACTGCAGCAGCTGTGGCAGTGGGCCCGTTTCTGTCTTCTGCAGAAAGAATGCATCCCGAACATTTCTAGTCCATCATCTTCCCAGAAGTCCCCACATTCTCTGTTTGTCTCCTCTGTCCAGATGCCTCTGCAGCTTGCTTGGCAGGACACCACATGATCAACTGTGTTGAATAGTCTCATTTTTACATACAGGTTCCTTCTTCTTTTATCTAATAGTCTCCTACACATTGAGGCTCTTCTCTGAAGTTTTGATCCTGATTACATTCTATATTTCAGAATTCCTCAAAACTTCTGATTAGATATTGGCGGTCTTTAGTTTTCCATTCCTGATTCTAATTTATCATTTTTGCAAAATATATTTTCAGTGACTATGTGGTATTTTGGGTGGGGAGGAGGTAAAAAAGCTGTGTACAACCTGCAACATAGAATCTTTATAAATAGAGGGAGTCAGAAAGTGGAATGAGAGTACACTCAAAAATGTGTTCAAACTCAAGCTCAATAGTAGTGTTCTATAAACTTTCTGTAAGGAGTTCTTTCACTAAGCTTCTTTTTAAAAAAGTTTTGATTTTTTCATTGTACATGTTTATGGGGTATAGTTAGTTGTTTCAATACATGCAAATATTGTGTAATGTTCTAGTAAGAGCAGATAGCATATCTATCACCTAAACATTTATCATTTGTTTGTGGTTATAACATTCACGATCTTCTTTTCTGTCTATCTTGAAATATATGATACGATATTATTAGCTATTGTCACCCTGAAGTGCCAGAACCTATTCTTCCTAACTAACTTTGTAACCTTGTACTGGTTTACCAACCTTTCCCCAGTCCCCTCTGTCCTCTTCCCCGCCTCTGGTAACCATCATTCTACTCTTTGTTTCTCTCTTTTTTTCCTTCTCTTTTTAATTTGTTTTTTTCTTTCACTAAGCTTTTAAATGTGTTTATTTATGAAGCACCACAATCATTAGCAACTTTTATGAATTATACATGTACTTATAACTGTGATAAGATAATCCTTTTAGTAAGTTGTTTTTTAAATTCTTATATAGTTATTTTCTAATGTTTTGATATTTCCCTTTTATAGAGAGGTTAAAATAATAGATAATTTTTTATTGAAATAATAGACCATGGAGTACAGCACTCTCCTTTCCTTGCCCTGTGGTTGAAGTTGGGGTGGGAGTTGAGCTCAGCAAGAGTGATGAGGTCACTCACTCAGCACTTTTTTGGTCATGATTAGATGTAACCTTTCTTAAGTAAGAGTCATTTTGTTGCAGCTAAACCTTATGGATTGGTTTATGTATACGTGACAGTTCCATTTTATATTAATTTGTGATAACTGAGTGATATGTCTTTGCTTATCTGTTGGCATTATCTCTAAAATGTATTGGAGGAGTACCTTTAGATGCACAAGTATTATACTGTTATGCTTTACAACAGAAGCCAGATAGGAAATATTTTCAGCTTTGTTGGCTACATGATCTCTGTTACAACTACAGCTCTGTTGTAGCTTGAAAGCCATAAGACTAAAATATGTAAATGAATGAGCATGACTGTGTTCCAATAAAATTTTATGGACACTAAAGTTTGATTTTCATATAATTTTCACATATTATGAAATTTTATTCTTCTTTTGATTTTTTTCTTTCCAACTGTTAAAAAAAATGTAAAAACCATTCTGAGTTCATGGGATGCCAAAAAACAGTTGGGGGGCTAGATTTGACACATGGGCTGTAGTTGGCCAGCCCCTAATTTAGAAGATTATTTAATAACATTAAAAATTTTCATCATACATAGAATGAAAAAAGAGCAGGTTACAAAACAGTATGTGTAGTTTGATCCCATTTATGTGAAAAAGCAATTGTCAGCATACAGATAGCAGTGGAAGAAGAGATATCAAAATATTAACACTGGTTTTGTGGTTAGATTATGGGTAAATTTAATTCTACATTGTGTTCATTTGTAATTTTTTGAGTTTTGCACTCTTTTTTATGTTGTTTTTTGAAATAAATATTCTTAAATTAGAAAAAGTTACTTTAAAAGTCACAGAGGATCTGTACATTCTCAGCAAAATCGGGACATTTATTGTTAATTAATTTGATACAATCTGTTTTGTTTACCCTCTGCTCCATTTTTAGCCGACCAGTCCCAAATTTGGAAAAGCTGATTCATATGAAAAACTGGAAAAACTAGGGGAAGGATCTTATGCTACAGTATACAAAGGGAAAAGCAAGTAAGTTAATTATTTTTTGAATATTTCACATGTAAAATGTATCTGCTCTCAATACTAAATAACAGTATATTTGAATAATTCTCATCTAATATACAATAGTTTTCCACCCCCCCAGTTTTTTTCTTCTTAAGTGTAAAAGTCAGTGGTTTTCTCTGATAGCAAACAGTTTTGCAGATTTGTCCAATTTACTTTTTTGTTTAACCCCCCCCCCCAACTTTGTTTTCTTTTTCTCTCGGTGGAGTTGGAACCCTCTAATGAGAATTTGTTTATAGGGGAATGGTTTGATTAGTTTCTCGTGGAGCCTTAGTGTTAACTTGAGAATAAGAGTATTGATTTGACAAACTGAGTATATCGGTCATTCTTGAATTGAGCTTTTACTTCATCTTTCAGAATTCACTTTGTTAAAAAAAACCCTGCAAACCCTTTTTTTTCCTGTCTACTTCGGCATCGTGCTGCATATATTTCCACATAGAGAAATAACTCTTTCCCCCTTTTTTTCTCTTTCTCTCCATTGCTATTCCAGGGTCAGGGCACAGATTTTTATTCTTAAAAAGCTCATTCCATATGTTTCTGATCTGCCTCCTCCCTCTCCCTTAAGGGCAGAGAGGTACTGTATTTAGTGGCATGTAGCTTGTAGAAAACTTAAACTTAATGCTATTTCTGAAATAGCCACTGGAAACATAAGCTTTGTTTTACCTTAATAACTTTCCTGAATGATGTTGAAACAAAATTTTCTGAACCGTCCTTGTTGTTACCTGTGTATAAAGTCATTATAGAGGATAGGACATTCTAACCTAAGCAATTAAATAATTGGATGTAGAAGAAAGCTTTCTAAAGGATCATTCTAAACACATAATTGGAAGTTTTGACTGTGTCCTATTTTAAGTAATCTTTGGCTTTTCTGGAATGTAGCCTTATTATACCTTTGCTCATAGTTTTTAAATTAAGAAGATGAAGAAATATTCTTTATAAAGGATGATATGTAAGTAAGGAAATGCATAAATGGTGTAAGTCAAAAGTAATAGTATTAATTTTGAGAGTTTTAAAATTATATTTGTTAAAAAAGGTGTATTTTTTTATTTGAATGAAAAATCAAAATGATGGGAAATAAAAACAAAACAAAACCCAGAGGGCTGTTAATGACTTAACCTTGTTGCTTGAGAATTATGGAATGTTAGGGTAACCATCTAAATGGTTAAGCTAATTTTAACAGGGGTTGTGTCCTTTTATATTTTTCCTAAAGAAAAATAGTAGTACTGTACTATATAAAAATTACATGTGCATTTAATGTTAAAGATGTGATGATAACTACCCTTTATTAAGCAATTGTTTTGTGTAAAGCACAGTATGTGCCTCTGGTTCATTTACTCTTCACAGTGCCCTGAAAGGTAGGTGCTGTATTATCACCTCCATTTGGCCAGTCAGGAATCTTGTGTTTACAGAGTAAGTTTAGCAACTTGCCCGTGTCCAAGCAGGCGGTTAGTGGCAAAACTGATTTTAGCTCATATCTATCTGGCTTGAAGCCATTCTTTTCCTAATCATTATCCATTACTGCTTCCATAGTATAAGGCTTTGGAAACATTTGGTCCTTGTTGAATATTCCAGATGGTTCTCACATATGCTCTGACTTATCTTAATTGTGACACAAACAGAAGCAAACTCAAGATTTCATTATAAGGAAACAAAACAAACCTTGGAGCTGCCTACCCACAAAAGGTGTGCTCACCTGACCTCCAAATATAAGTTAATAAGTCTATTAAATGTTTAACCTCAAGATTTATGTCAAAATGTCAGAGATAATTGAAACATTTTCCATTTATTATGCTTGAATAAAAGGAAGACTTTAAGGTACCTGTGATCTTTGGGAAGGATGGTTCTGAACAGTTGATAGTTTTCATGCCAGCAGGTCTAAATTTATGTTGTCAACATTTCTAGCGGTATCAAGCCTGCTGGTCACGTGTAGTATTTAATTTCCTCCAGCTGGAGATAAAAGCCATTGCCCACTCATCTGCTTTAAGAGATGAGAGGCTGCCTGGATTTGCCTACTTTAAGGTGGCAGGGTCAGGCTGAAGAAAAACAGCTACATGTCATACAGCAGGATTTGAAAGCTGAGTTTGTTTGGTGTGTCCCCAAAGTACTGCATACTTCAAAAAGCCAGCTAAATGCTCAGATCCCTATTCCAGTACTCCTTACCACTCTCCCATTAATGCATCCTTGCCCCATCTGTAAACATCTTTAACATCCTCCCCAAGAACAGCTCTCATTATCCTGCAATAAGCTGCTGGGCATTTTAGAGATCTCTGTGATTTTCAATTTGTGAGCATTTTACATATATGTATTGATTTACAGATGTCAGGTTTGGATTTTATCATAAACCTCATGTTGTTAGTTTGCTAGTGCTGCCAAAACAAAGTGCCACAAACTGGGTGACGTAGAAATTATTGTCTCATGGTTTTGGAGGCTAGAAGTCCGAGGTCAAGGTGACAGCAGGGTTGGTTCCTTCTAATGGCTGTGAAGGAGGATTTGTTCCATGCTTCTTTCCCAACTTCCGGTGGTCGTTGGCAGTCTCTAGCATTTTTGTCATGTAGATGCATCACTCCAATCTCTGGCTTCATTTTCACATAGTGTTCTCCCAGTGTGTATCTGTTGCTGTGTCCAGATTTCCCCTTTCTATCAGGACACCAGTAATGTGGGATTAAGGGCCTCACTGATGACCTCATTTTAACTTGAATACCTCTGTAAAGACTCTATTTCCGTATAAGTTCACATTATGAGGTAGCTGGAGGCTAGAACTTTAATATATCTTTTTGGGAGAACACGATTCAGTCCATAACACTTATTAATTTCAAACCTCACTAATTTGGCATTACATATGTGACAGTGTTCTTTTACCTGTGGTATATTTATAAGTAAGCCATCCTTTATCGCATGGTTGTTCCTCAGACAATATAAACAAAGGATAGTCCACCCATCAAGAGGTTTGTGTAATTCTTGATTTTGGAGCAGTTGCTGTTAGTCATAGTTTAGAAACCTGTAGAGGGACAGAAAGGGTTTTTATTACTCTTGGATTCTCCTGGGTCTCTTGTTCCTGTAGGGACACATGTTGGGGAGAAGTTGACTGAGATTCCTATATAGGTAGCCCGCTTGATAATGAGCATGGCTTCTAAAGAATGGCTGGCTAACAGTGTCTGCATCAACACAGAACACTCATAAATATACTTTGTTTATTGTTTTTTTGAAAAGCTTTGAACATATTGCACTCATATTTGAGTAGGGAATTTCTGTTTCTGTTTTTGTTTTTTGACTGGTGTTCTCCAGCTTTTTTCTACTTTCTGTGTGTGTGTGTGTGTGTGTGTGTGTGTGTGTGTGTGTGTGTGTGTTTGGGGAACGGAGGCAATTTATCATTAAGTCTGACTACTAATCTCTATCCTGATTTTGTTTCCTGATAATGTTCTCTCCAAGATTAAAAAATCATGCATTGTGTAGTATTTTACATGTAAAAGTTCTCATATATGGCACTTTAAAATGTCTGTAATTTAGTACCTTGAAATATTATTTTTACTTCTTAGTTTGTCAGGTACTTTTGTACATTAAGAGACTTGTTGATATTTTTTGAGCTTATTTAACTAATGATGAATGCTTATGTTGTTTATAATTATGCCGATTTTCTGCTGTAGACGAAAAAGAGGTAACTCAGAGGCAGATTCTGTCCCCAGGAAACCTAATCTTGAAGGGAGATGGTATATGTACAAAAACAATTCTATATAAATTAGGATGTTGTAAGAAAGGCCCAGGTACAATGGTGTGGGGTTCCAAAGGGAAGGAAGGAAGGAAGATGATGATGATTAAATTATTTTAAATGCTTTCTCTTTATGGAGACTAAGTTCAGAGCCACAGCTCATGTGCTTTTAAACCAAAACTCTCCCATCACTATGTATCCTGTGGGATCCTTGGCACAGTTCTCTTTTGGGGTCCCCACCCCCACATGACTCCCCTCTCTCACCCTCCCTGCATTGGATATAATAAGATTTTCCACCCTTTGGTTATCAGACCCGCCACTAAATTTGTTGTACCTTGAGGGCCTTAAAGTAAAAGCAAACAAATTTATTTTGATTATTGTGCAAATTTTTTTTTTTTTTGTCCTTTTTTCCGTGTCCGGCAACGGATCGCAACCCTCAGTGTTGCCCCCGTACCGGACCGGGGACCGGCAACGGGATCGCAAGCCTCGGTGTTGCTCCCGCGCCTCGCTCAGCCAGTGAGCGGGAACCGGTCTGTATGTGGGATCCGAACCCTCGGCGACTTAAACCATTTTTTGACTTTACAGTGGTGTGAAAGTGATGCCCATTCAGCAGGAACTGTACTTCAAATTTTGAATTTTGATTCAAAATTCTTTGTCATAACTTTATTACAAAATAGGTTTTGTGTTAGACGATTTAGACCAACTGTAGGCAAATGTAAGTGTTCTAAGCATGTTTAAAGTAAGCTATGCTAAACTATGATGTTCAGTAGGTTAAATGTATGAAATCGTATAACTTCGTATAATGTATGCTATACGAAGTTATTACGAGCGCCGCCGCGCTTCCCAAGCGGCGCACTTATCCAGTGCGCCACCGGGCCGGCCCCGTGCAAATTTTGATTAAGCAAAAGTGTTATGTTTGTGAGTTAAGGTGGAATTGGCTTTAGTGATATAATTGGGAAGGATTGGTGGTTTGCTTATGTGTGGGCGCCCATGAATACTTGGCTGTTGACCACCCACCATCTCAACGTCCAAAGTTGAGATGTGATGGGACCCATATTCTCCTCAGTGCACTGGTAACTGCTGGTGGAGCACACCTGAATTTCCCCAGGGTTTGGTTCCCTGCTGTGAGTCGTGAGAAGCTATGAAACGTTGCTCTTCCTGGGATGGGGTCCTCTCCCTTCCCTCCTACTGAATCTAGGGGAGATGTGAGACTAGCTGCTTTTGGTTTTCTCAGACTTCATGTGCCATTTAGAGGAAGGAC